ATGTAAGATGATATATAGATCTTCTTTTGAGTTTTAAACAAGAGAATTAATAGGAAGCATTATAGATTAATTGTTAATGTGATGGTTATAACAGCACAGTTGAATTTGATATTCTGATTGTAAATGAAACCAAATAAATTGTTGATGCAGTTATTTCATTTAGAAAACTGTAATTAAATGTGGGCATATAGTAAAAGGAAAAGGGGTAATGGAATAATGTTAAAGCAAACAAGAAATAAACATCCCACAGGAATCTAACTGGGCAACTGTTTAGACCTTCACTGTTTTCAAATCCCACCCTCCTCCTTTCCTTCTCACTTGTAGCAGGGACATTGCCTTCTGCTTCAGAAAAAATAAAGCCATCAGACAGGATTTCTTTTAATTTCCTGCAAACGAAAGTACACACCTAAGCTTCAGGTGCTTTCATTTCCTCTATTCCTTCCTGTCACATTGAAGAATTTTCCGTCCTCTGTAAGGACAGTCTTTTCCTCTGCCCTCTGGATCTCCTTCTTTCCCACCTCTTCAGGTACCTAATACTATTGATGCTCTCTTGTCTTATGTCTTCAACTTCTGTCTCTCTTTACTGACTCTTTTCCTTTTGTTTTATATATGTTCAAATCATTCTCAATTTAAAAAAAAACAAAAACATCAAAACCCACCTTTACCTTGCTCTGCTCTCCAGCGGTGGCTTTAACTTGCCTCCCCCTTCACAACCAAACTAGTTATTTCCATTGTCTTCCTTCCCGCTCAGTGTTTCTCCATCTCCAGTCTGGCTTTTGCTCCATCATGCTGCAAATGAGCTTCTCACTAAGGTCCCTAATGGCATCTCCATGTCACTAAATCCAAACGGCGTTTTTCATTCCTCACCTCAATTCACTTTGAAAAGCATCCTTCAAGGCTGACTCGGTCTTCCTTGAAACGTTTCTCTTTGTGTCCATGACACTACACCCTCGCCTGTTTTTTCCCAAAGGCCACTTTGCAGTTTTTGCCAGCTCTCTTCTTTTTTCTGTTTATTCTTTAAATGTTGAGATATTTTACTCTGTTCCATTTTACTACCTCCCTCTCTTTTCTATTTTTTTTCTAAGCAGTGTCCTTTGTTCTTATAGGTTCAGTTTCACTCACATTGATAACTCCCAAATGCATATCTTCAACCTCTGCTTTTTCTTTCATCTCCTAATCTGTGTAGCCGACAGCCTACTAGACATTTTACTTGGATAACTTAAAAACATCTAGAACTAATACATAAAAAAAGTGATAAACTCATCTCTCTCTCAGACTAACAACCACAACCATAGCAGTAGATCTTTATTATTTCTTATCTTAATAAATGGCCCACCATACATTCAGTTTTACAAACTAGAAACTGTATAGTCACCATTACCTCTCAGAGCTATCTATCAATCCTATTGATCTTAATAACCAAATCTCCTGAGTCCCATTATCACCGTTATCCTACTCCAGACTCTGTTCTTGTAACTATCTCTCAAGTTCAGTTTTGCTCTTTTCTAATCTCTTTTCCAAACATTGCAAAATGTATACATTTAATCATGACATTCCCCTAAAACTCTTCAGTGGGTTTCCATTGCCTTAGGGTGCATATACTGGATAAGTAAATAAGGCATTGCTTGATTTAGCTCTCCTGGGATGTGTTGTTTTCCCCAGATAAATACAGGCCCCTCTGTTTGATGTATTTTAAAATACTTTATTGAAATATAATTTACATACCTTTGAATTCACTCGTTTAAAGTATACAATTCATTGGTTTTAGTATTCATAGAGTTGGGCAACAATTACCACATTCAACTTTAGAACATTTTTATCCCTCCTAAAAGAAATACCATACCTGTTAGCATTTTTGAAATCCTGCCATTTGAGACAACATGAACAGACCTTGAGGGCATTATGCTAAGTGCAATAAACCAAAGAACGAAAGACAAATACTGTATGGTATCACTTATATGTGGAATAAAAAATTTTAAAAAAGCTGATTTCATTGAAAGAGAGTAGAATTGTGGTTTCCAGTGGCTTGGGGAAGGAGGCAACAGGAAGATGTAGGTCAGAGGATACAAACTTCCAGTTATAAGATGACTAGGTTCTGAGGATCTGATATACAGCATGGTGACTACAGTTAATAATATGGTATTATATACTGGAAAATGGCAGAGAGTAGATCTTAAGCTTTCTCACCACATACACAAAAAATTAGTTAACTATGTGAGGTGATGGATGTGTTAATTATCTTGATCTTGGTAAACTTTCCACAGTGTATATATATGTATACCAAATAATCATGTTGTAACACTTTAAATATATACAATTATATTTGTCATTTATTCCTCAGTTAATTTTGAAAAAACATAAATGAACTATGTTTCAGTATCTGGTAGGGCAAGGTTAGTAGTCTTCTCCTTATTAATCTTATTTTGAGTTTCCTAGCTATTCTTGCTTTTCTGTGTGAACTTTAGAATTAGCTTATATGGTTACAAAAATTGTTGGTATTTTATAAAATAATCTCATTTTAGTTGTTGTTAATTTAAGTAGAGTTGATATCTTTTATGATGTTGAGTTTTCCTCTCTGAGAACATGGGTATGTGTGTGTTTGTCTTAGGAATGTGTTAGATGTCTTTTTATAGATCTTACTTTTATTTAGTTTATTTCTATGTTTTATTTCCTTTTTATTGCATTTGTAAATGGGGTCTTCCATTACTGGTTTCTAACCAGTTATTTGTATATGTCAAAGATTATTTTCTGTTTACTAATTTGTATTTAGTCACCATTTCAAGTTTTTGTTTGTATTAGTTTTTCTTTTTCAGTTGATTTTCCAATATATAACCATTATCTACAAAGAGTAATATTTTTATCTCCTCCTTTCCAAATTATTATACCTCTGATTTTTTTTATCTTTTAGATTTGCATTTGCTAGAAACTACAGAATAATATTAGATAGTGATGATAAAGGACATTGTGGAAGAATACATTTTGCGGAAGCTTCTTGTATTTTAGGACAGATGCTTTCTTATTTCCACTTTAAACTTGAGGCTAACTCTTAGTGGCTTGAGATAGATAATTTTTCATATCAGAAATACTCATCTATCTTTTAAACAGCTTTTATCAGTGGTGGATGTAATTTTATTAAATGCCTTTTCGGTATCCATTGATATGACGGCATGATTTTTTTCTTCTTAAATCCATTAGAATGAATCATATGAATAGATCCTCCCATCTTGAACCATCTTTTCATTGCTGGGATAAATCCTACATGGTCAAGGAGTATTCATTTTTAATATTCAGTGCTTTTTCCGACAGGTTTATCATATTCATTCTGATAGCTATGAGACACAAAACCAGCACTATGGAAGAAGCCTAACAAAAGAAACTCTAAAGGATGGTAAGGATTGAAAAACTGTACTTCAGTGCTTTTATTGCTGCACAGTTATCAAAGTAATTCTACAGTGATTTTAGTTTTAAATCTCTTTTAGTATAATGATTCAATTCATAATAAATAAACTGAAAAAAATGAACCTTAGAATCACAGAATTGGATTAGTCATAATCCCTGGTTCATGATACACCGAAACCATGGGACCGTGAATGGTCTTCTTATATTTTTACTCATTTATTATTTATGAATATACTTTTAAAAAATGAACATTTCTGAACCAACCATCTAGTCCAAGTACTGGAACTACAGGTTGTCTTTAAAATCATAGTATATTAAAATTGCTTGTTACGTAAAAGACTTTAAAATGTGTCTTGTACCATGTGATTTATTTTTATTGAAATTTTCTATACATAGTTGAGCTGTATATTTTAAGCTTCTAGAACTGTATTATGAATGAACAAGTGGCATTAAAAGTAGTTTAAATAAAATATGTTAACATACTTGCTTCTAAAATATTCATGGACAAGATATTACAAAAGCAATGATATCCTAGATTTCTGGAAATAATATTCTATTGGAAGCTTAGTCTTAGCTCTGCTGAAGATGGGGAACAGCTTATGTGTAGTGTAAAGCGTTCGAAGAAAAAAAATGTATGTGTAGAAAATAAGCATCCACAGAGTGGTCTTAACAAATAGTATCTGCCTTGGCCAACAGCAAGATAAGAGGTAGGTTTGCTCTTTATTAAAATACTTCTCAGTCTAATCTGAATATATTTAGCAGTTTCTGTCCCAAAGTAGGGGAACAGGCTGTTTAAAAGCAGAAATCAAATTGAATATACCCATAAATTTCTAAGTATGATAAAAAATAAGCATAAATAATTTTTTATTATGAATTTGTACCAACTGATGCATAAATAATTTTAAAGGTGCCTAATCTGATAGGTTAAAACATTTAAAAGTCTCAATTTTGGATAACACACTTGAACTGGACTAGTGCTAATCACCAAAGTGAGCTTAACTTTTGTGAAAAGACTGATTTAATCAGTATTACTGAGAACAAAAAATTTAGTACAGTTACAATTTGATATTTTGGTGATGGGTTGTTGACACCATTAAAAATGGTTATGACTTGACTCAAAGTTTTTTAATTAGCTCTTGAATGTGATTTTAACAAGTTATCATACTATAAAATATCTCACAATAGCAAATGAAGCAAATCTTGGAATCATTACTTAAGAGAATATATATAGAGAGAACTAAATTACCAGTCTCTCTCTAATAGTTGTCTAAATAGGATATTTCACTTTACATAAGTGTCATTTAAATGTTTTCTAGTAAGAGCATCTTCACCAGAAATCAAGTTGAGGTCCAAGTTTTTATGTCTGACTAGAATTCTTACCTGTTCAGTTAATTGCAAGGGATGATGGAAAAAAACGAGAATTGCATCTAAGATGAATTTACTTCCCAAGTAATAGCTGTTTCATAATTTTATTATAATCATAGTAATATGTTACAATACTATATTTTCCTTTTTATAGGGATTTCCAGATTTTTTCATAATGGATTCTGCTTAAGAAAAGATGCTGTTGCTGCCAGTATTCATAAGATTGAGAGTATTCTGCAGTGGTTTGAAACCCAGAAGCAGCTTAACTTTTATGCAAGTTCATTATTGTTTGTTTATGAAGGTTCATCTCAGCCAACTACTACAAAATCGAATGACAGAACTTTGGCAGAAAAATTTTTGTCCAAAGGACAACTCTCAGACACAGATGTACTGGAGTACAATAATAACTTTCGAATGTTAAGCTCCACTGCAAATGGAAAAATAGAGGCTTCAGCAGGTAAAAGCTGGTCCAAGATGTATGCTCGTCACAGAAAAATGTATTCAAAAAAGCATCACAGTCAGACTTCATTGAAAGTTGAAAATATAGAGCAAGACAATGGGTGGAAAAGCTTGTCACAGGAACATTTAAACGGAAATGTACTTTCCCAGCTGGAAAAAGTTTTCTACCATCTTCCCACTGGTTGCCAAGAGATTGCAGAAGTAGAAGTACGAATGATAGATTTTGCTCATGTTTTCCCTAGCAACACAGTAGATGAGGGATATGTTTATGGGCTGAAGCATTTAATTACTGTACTGCAGAGTATTTTAGACAATTGAATCCTTTGCTACAGCCTTTTTAAAGGATGGGGCAATCATAGTGAAGAGCAGCAATCAATATCTCTGCACTTGTAATGCTATGTAAAAAATTTGTATTGTGAGTCTACATTTTATTTGTCTTTATACTTTTGGTAGAAGGGTTAACTTTTTTATAATCTTACTCAGGAAAACTAATTATTTGTTCATTAGAAAACTATGAAGAATAAAGAAACTTCGGAATGTTAAGCAGGGAATGTGGTGGTACCTGGTTTAAACATCAATTTGGCTCAAGCAAAATGCAAACCATTATTCATTATTAAGAGTTTAGTTTTTTGTAGCCAGTTTATCATGAAATCTCTGTCCACCCGTAACCTTGACAATGAGCCATATCTAAACTCATTACATTATGAGAATACTTTAAAAAATCTAGAAAGCACAGGTTAATGTCCTTAGTAGTGCTATATGAAGTTATTAAAACTGGAGAAAATTCTACTTCAGAAATAAGTACTGTTTAGGTTTTATATTAAAAGTTCAGACCAGCATATCAAAAGGTGCTTCTTAGTGAAATGATTTTGATTTATTGCATTCCGAAAGCAGATTTTCCCTTTAATTTTCATTTATATTCATATTTCAAAATATTATAATTCATGAAAAAGATAATTGAAAT